GTGTGTAAGTACAGTACATTTGTGTACAGTCTCCAAAATCCAAGTACTTTCCAAAAAATAATAATCTTAAAAGTTAAAATTACCAGAGATGGGAAGTAACAAAGAACTTATTCAAGTAGATTTTCTGGTATCAGTATATAACTCCACTATTGTTTTTATTTTATTTTTTTACTTTTATTCATTATATTTTTACACAGATATCTGTTTCTACTTACATTTTTAAACCAATCTCATTAATTTAATTTTTGTGTCTTCGACTGTCTATATTTTTTGTCATTGTGCAAATTGAATGAATTTTCAATAATTATGTAATCAATTACTGTACTTGAAAAGATACTGTACTGTATCTATATTTACTGTACTTAACTAGATTTCCTGGTTTCAGTGTATTACTCCACTATTTATTTATTTATTTATTTATTTGACTTTCTGGTATCAGTATATAAGTCCATTATTATTATTTTTTTTTTACTTTTACTCATTACATTTTTACACAAATATTTAATTTTCACTCCTTACATTTTTAAATCAATTTAATTACTTTCATTTTCATGTCTTTGGCTATCTATATTTTTTGTTATTGTGCAAATTGAATGAATTTTTGATTCAGCCATTTTTTCCCCATTGTGAGTATATAATTATTTTTTTCATAACAGAAATCCACATATACCCCATGCTAATTACTGAATTAAAAACCTTCATTTGTTTATTACATAAATGTAGTTTACAGCAATTGACACCAAAATGTGATTTTGGCTTAATTGCTTAATTAATTTGAACTTTAACTTAATTGTGCGCAGGTGTATGTACAGTTTGTATACACAGTACATTTGTGTACTATTTACAGTGTCCAATATCAATGTACATTTTTCAAAAAAAAAAAAAAAAATTAAAAAGAAAAATTCACCTCTGTAAACTACCTGACAAAAGTCTTATTTCCCATCCAAGTTTTAGAAAAAAACAAATAATAACTTGACTTCTAGTTAATCATTTGGCATCAGAAGTGGCTTATATGAAAGGCAAAGGCCTCTAGATTACGCTTATTTGACCAAAATAAAATATGATCATGCCACTTATTTTTAATTATTTAATTAGGACAGTAAGGTCTAACTTTTCTTATTCAAAAGTCTTGCCACTTAACAGAAGTAATGTACAGTATAGAATATAAAGTCATGCTGCAGAGGAAACAGAATAAATATTTTGTCTGACTCCATCATGAGCTTAGAGGACTGCATCCATACATCTCTGCAATGACTCAAATCACTTATTAATAAAGTCATCTGGAATGGCAAAGAAAGCATCTTGCAGGACTCCCAGAGTTCATTAAGAGTCTTTGATGTCATCTTCAACGCCTTCTCCTTCATCTTACCCCAGACATGCTCAATAATGTTCATGTCTGGTGAATGGGCTGACCAATCCTGGAGCACTTTGACCTTTTTTGCTTTCAGGAACTTTGACATGGAGACTAAAGTATGGAATGAGCGCTATCCTGCTGAAGAATTTGCCCTCTCCTGTGGTTTGTAATGTAATGGGCAACACAAATGTCTTGATACCTCAAGCTATTAATGTTGCCATCCACTCTGCAGATCTCTTGCACGCCCCCAAACCATGATTTTTCCTTCACCAAACTTGACTGATTTCTATGAGAATGTTTGGTCCTTGAAGTTCCGATAGGTCTTCTGAAGTATTTGTGATGATTGGGATGCAGATGATCCATCAGAGAAATCTACCTTCTGACACTTTTCCAAATGATCAACTAGAAGTAAAGTTATTATTTGTTGCTCTTACAACTAGGATAGACGATAAGACTTTTGTCAGGTTGTGTATAACAATTACTACACAGTTAGAAAATGCATTTTTATCTTTATAAAATTTTATAAACAGACTTTAAGTGGAGAAGTACACAGATCTTTAAATGTTAAAAGGCAGGAGCATGTGTGAAATCCCCAGTACTTTGCAAACCCACATTTGAAAACACAGCTTATGTGTGCATCTGTTTTTAAAGGACCAAAGTGAAAACAGGAAAAGCGTCAACAAGATGAATCACAGGTACTAATCAACTAACAGTACAAAAAAAGTATCACTACTGTATGAAAATAGACGTATGCATTTTACCCAGTCATTGAGAAATACTTTATTCCATATTGCATGGGCTCTGATTAGTTGATAACATCAATGCTAAGCCTTTTACACAATTATATTAAATTCACAGTTAGTGGCAGGAAGAATTTGGTTTTGCACATCTCCTCAGCCCACATTTGTTTCCTGTTAAGCATTTTCTTCTTTTTTTTCTTTTTCTTTTTTTTTTGTGGACCCAAATTGCGTATATTGCATGTCTGCAGTCAAGATACCTATTTCTGTTTCTCTTGATGCTTTTTTATATTCAGTCACACGGTTGTTAGTGGAGTGATTGATAGCAGACGGTGATAAAATCATCAGCAGTGGAAAAGCACTGGTGAGTGAAATAACAGGTGAATTTTATCTTGTATAAATCAGTGTTGCTTAAACTAAAATACATTTTGCCAACTTTGTTTGCTTGACATTTTGAAAACATTGGCAGAATCAATTTGATGTTGCTGTTTAATGTTGGACAGGATCCTGTAAGAAGATTTTAATTTAATAATAATGCTACTCAAATACTTTAACAAATGTTGTACAAGAGTATCTGTTTGAGAGGAGACTGTCCATATGCACCCCCCTTGAAATGTACAGTATGTCCATTTATATTAGTTAAAAAATATTATCTTTTGAGTGTCAGAAGGTTGCAGTAGAGTTTAAAAGTTATAGTAGGCCACATACAGTATAAACATCTTTTATTCTAAATATCGGTAAAATATTAAGTGAAAATCAGGTTCCATTACTTTTTTTTGTCAACTTACTTCTGTAAATATATCCCAACTCAATTGTGATTAGTAACATGTAGTTCTGGGCAAAGATTAAAAGCACTCCATTGGACAACTTAAACATTTATTTATTTATTTATTTTTTTTTTTTTGAACCCTCAGATTTGAGATTTTTAAATAGCTGTGATTTACATAAGGTTTACAGGGTTACATAAGAAAATGTAACTATACAAAAACAACCAAAGTATATATTATGTGTGTATATATATTTATATATATATATATATGTGTGTGTGTGTGTGTGTGTGTGCGTGTGTGTGTGTGTGTGTGTGTGTGTGTGTGTGTGTGTGTGTGTGTGTGTGTGTGTGTGTGTGTGTGTGTGTGTGTGTGTGTGTGTGTTTTGCTATTTGTAGTTCTGTACTTTGGAAGTTTCATGCGAAGTCTTGAGTTTTGAGTTCTGTGCAGTTCCAATGTTAATAGCAAACGTATTTTATTGTTTTTTTTCTAAATAAATAGTAATAAAATAAACAAAAAACACTTGTTTTTCCCTTTTACTGTATGTTTGCACGCAGTTCATGGATTTTGTAAATCTTTGAATTTTAATTTTCCTTTTAAGAGAGTTTCAGGTTGTTTTGTAACACTTACTTGAAACTTGCACATTAATAATAATCAGAAGTAATAATTTTTGCAGAGATGCATGAACAATACAACCTAAATGTCTTCACTTCTGATGGGATGCACTCATTAATGCTGTGTAGCACATAATAACTCACATCAGTGTACAAGTACAAGTACTAAGGGTTGCTATAACAAATATTTTGTCTTAACTCTTTTAGACTGTAAATGTTCATTCATTCTACTTTGTTGCAGTCTTCATCCTGCAGAAGCCATTACCTTGAATTACCATTCTCAGAATAACACACTTCACTGGGAGAAAAACACACACCAAAATGCCGGGCACATTATCTGATGTTCAAAATCCATTTAACTGTTCAATCTGCTTGGAACTGTTTAAGGATCCGGTGACTACATCTTGTGGGCACATTTTTGTATGAACTGTATTAAGTCGTGCTGGGATAAGGAATTTTTTAGAGGTGTTTACAGCTGCCCAACATGCAGGAATGAATTTAGGCCAAGGCCAGCTCTCAGCAAAAACACTGTTCTCGCTGGCATTGTAGAAGAAAGGAAGCAGGATGCCCCAGCTGCACCTGGAGATGTGCAGTGTGACGTCTGTATAGGAGGAAAATTCAAAGCCGTCAAGTCTTGTCTGGTGTGTTTGGCGTCATTCTGTCAAACTCTTCTTCAGCCTCATTATCAATCTCAAGCTTTTAAAAAGCACAAGCTGGTGAACGCTTCAGCAAATCTACAGCAGCAGATCTGCCCTCAACATCATAAAGCTCTGGAGATTTACTGCTATAATGACAAGAAGTGTATATGTGTGCTATGTATGGGTCAGCACAGTGGACATAAGACTGTATCAGCTGCAGCTGAAATGGCTGGAAAAAAGGTAAAATGAGATATGTATTTAATAATGGCATACAAAGCACTGTGTAATAGTCTAACTGTAAACTCTATTAACAAACTCTATAAAAATGCAATTATGTATTTTATTCAAGTCATTGATATTTGAATGGAAGCATAATCATTTTTCTTTCATGTGGTCTTGTAGAACTTAATATGCTTAAACAATATGAAAATAAGAACATAGGAATGTGTTTGTTTGTTTATTTAAAAAAACAATAGGCATTTTATGCTGAAGAAAAATAAAATAAAAAGCCATAGTATAAAATTTCTTTTGTTTAGTTGTTTAATTATTATTATTTATATTATTTCATATTATAATATATATCTAGCTTTGCGAACAGGAGGGAGCCCTGGGCTCGAGGATGCCAAACACGCTTTTGATGGATCATTAGCTAAGTGTAAACTCTCAGATTTGTTTTAGTAATTACTGTTTTTTTCTTTCACTTTTGCTTCTGTTGTCTGTTTTTCATAGCAAACTGAAACTAGTTAGTCAGGTTCGTCAACCTATTCATCTTTTTATTCATACAAATCTGTAATTGTTACTATAATAGTTATAATTAGTTTTTTAGTTAACTAATTTAATTTTTATTTCATTTATTTTTTTAGCATATATTCATTAATTCTTTCATTCATTTTGACTGTTTTGGTGGAGATCTTACATTTGTTTATCTTGCGTAAGCCACTCCCTGTTATTTCCATTCTCAGAATACACCCTGGTATTGAACAGTTCACGGGAGAGAAAGCACTAAAATGGCAGGCTCCTCATCTGATGTTCAAAATCCATTTAACTGTTCAATCTGCTTGGAACTGTTTAAGGATCCGGTGACTACATCTTGTGGGCACAGTTTTTGTATGAACTGTATTAAGTCGTGCTGGGATAAGGAATCTTTAAGAGGTGTTTACAGCTGCCCAACATGCAGGAATGGATTCCGGCAAAGGCCAACTCTCAGCAAAAACACTGTTCTCGCTGGCATTGTAGAAGAAAGGAAGCAGGATGCCCCAGCTGCACCTGGAGATGTGCAGTGTGACGTCTGTATAGGAAGAAAAATCAAAGCCGTCAAGTCTTGTCTGGTGTGTTTGGCGTCATTCTGTCAAACTCACCTTCAGCCTCATTATCAATCTCAAGCTTTTAAAAAGCACAAGCTGGTGAACGCTTCAGCAAATCTACAGCAGCAGATCTGCCCTCAACATCATAAAGCTCTGGAGATTTACTGCTATAATGACAAGAAGTGTATATGTGTGCTTTGTTTGGGTGATCAGCACAGTGGACATAAGACTGTCTCAGCCATAACTGAAATGGCAAAAGAAAAGGTAAGATGAGGTTATATGTATTTAATAATGGCAAAAAACACTGTGCTATATTGCAAATGTCAATTGTAACACATATAATAAAAAATGTGTGAATATTTTATCTCAGTTTTAGTTGTTTTTTAAATAATAAGATATATTTGGATTTTTTATATGAGCAGGAAGACCATGAAAGAACTATACTTTCCATAAAACCGGTTTTATTCAGTAGTTTTTTTGTTTTTTTAGTAGTAGTAGTAGTAGTAGTATAAATGTTTATTGTTTCGTAAGTTACTCAAACAAATATTTCTTATTGTTCTTTAAAACAGGAGAAATTGAAAATTAAAAAAACGGAATTCATTAAGAAAATCACAGACATAAACAAGAATCTTCAAGCATTTAAAAAACCTATGGATTTACATAAGGTGAGTGGAACTCATAAATTAAGACATTTGACATTTGGGGATATGAGTCAATCAGATTGTTTATTGTTACCTGAGGACTGTTTGTCCACTCGTTGTTGTATAAATCAATCCAGAGCATCCCAATCGTGCTAAATGGGTTAAATATCCCATAATTAAGGTGGCTTTGCAAGAACTGGGATGTAGAGTTCTGCATCCTTGCAACCCGAACAGGTTTTTTTTTTCGCAGTGAAGTGTTCATTTTCCATCTGTAACGTGGAAGCAGGCAGGACTCAATTGTAATTTAAATGGGAGTGAAGATTTTCATTACTCCTTCATATCTACTACAGGTAACCTGTACACAGAACCTTCATGCACTTCATTCCTGTGCTCAGAATGTGCAAAACGGCAGGTTGGCGATGAGTGACAGAGCAGATAAAACGGAATCAAAGTGTGGATGCGCTGTTCTTAAATATTGTAAAAGCGGTCAGAAACAAAGGTAGCAAAGAATTCTGGCCCAGATTTGGCATAGGTATTCCTGTGGCACTAGCATTCAGCGTGTGGGCCAAACATGAGCTCGGGTTTGGCAAAGTTGGCACCGTCTTTAAGGCAGCACACAAGATTTGGGCCAGATGTACAATGTAGTATTTGGCCCAGATGTTAAAAATTGGTATGTGGGCCTCGTAAGTTTGGCCCATCATGACCCACATTTAAAATACATTTTAAATTTATTTTTGTTACAATTTTTTGATTACAAATTTTGAGTAATTAATGTGGCTACCAGCCACATTAGCCAGAGTTTACCGAGCCAAATATTTGCCAAATGTGGCTCACATATATTTTAAGATAACTGGCCCACACTCAAATCCACATAAGCCAGAGTTTACTGAGCCAAATATTCGCCAAGATTAGCCCACACATCTTTTAAGATAACTGGGCCACATTTTGCTCTGGGCCACTATAGGCTACCAGCCACATTAGCCAGAGTTTACTGAGCCAAATATTTGCCAAATGTGGCTCACATATATTTTAAGATAACTGGCCCACGCTCAAATCCACATTAGCCAGAGTTTACTGAGCCAAATATTCGCCAAGATTAGCCCACACATCTTTTAAGATAACTGGGCCACATTTTGCTCTGGGCCACTATAGGCTACCAGCCACGTTAGCCAGAGTTTACTGAGCCAAAAATTTGCTAAAAGTGGCCCACATATGTTTTAAGATAACTGGGCCACATTTGCCATATTTTCTCTGGGCCACTTTAGGCTCACAGCTGCAATAGCCAGAGCTTACTGTGTCGAATATTTGCCAAAAGTGGCCCACATATGTCTTAAGATAACTGGGCCACATTTGGACCTACACATGTGAACCACTTTGGGTTTAGACCCAGATTACCCTTAAATGACTATGTCACAATTTTGCCAACTGTAGCCCACATTTTCCTCTGTCATTTGGCCCAAATTGACCATTTTCCACATTGGCCACATTAGGCTCACATTCAGATTACATTTTATTTTAAGTGACAAATCATTGCCTTAAATGGCCCATATGTGAATTGGAATCTTTGGCCCCTTTTTGTCATTGTGCATGTGGGCCACTTCAGGCTCACATTCATTTTGTCTGGGCTGAAGAAAAACCACAAGTGCCACATTACTGCCTAAAGTGGCCAACATTTGTATGCTATTTGGCAAACCAATTAAAATTTCATTCGGTTTGCGCATTTTTATTCAGATGGAGGTGTTTCTATAAAGTATTTTCATTCTGATTTTATTTAGATTACAATGCTCTATGTCTCGTGTTTCTGTGTCCTGGCAGAGCTCTGCACAGACGTCAGTGGAGCACAGCAACAAGATCTTCACTGAACTCATCCAATCCCTTACAAAAAAACAAACTGAAGTGAGAGAAAAGATCAGAGCTCAGGAGAAACAGGAGACTCAAAAAGCTACGAATTACATACAGAAACAGAAACAGGAGATCAGCAATCTTCGGAACCAGAGTGTTAAACTGGAGCAGGTTTTACATACAGAAGATCACATTTATTTCTTCCAGGTATAAATAAAAAGTGTTATAGAGGATGGATTCGTGTTTTATGAAATGCTGAGATTGCTATTGAATCTGTTCTTATATCTTTTCTCCCAAATTTGCAGAATTTCTCTTCCCTTTCTCCAAGACTGTATGTCTTACCCAAAGATGTTAATGATCTTGTAACATTTGAGAAAATAGATGAATCTGTCTCAAAGCTGAAAAGAAAACTGGATGAAGTCTGTGAGAAGCACATGGGCAAAATATCAAACAAAGGTAAATATCACAGCCACAAACAGTTTAAACGTTCTCAAATAGAGAATAGTACTTAAGGTGTGCCATGATATGATGCTGGTAGACCAAAAAGTAAAGTGTTTTATGTTGTGTCAGCTTGTATGAAATTTGAAGAGTGTGATTTCACAACTACTGTGGTGCCATAAAATTATTCGTATCTTTCTATAGTGGCTGATGTCCACATTATCAGGCCCTTTGTGATTGGTGAGTATTTTTGTAAAACCTAATTTCATGTTTCACCATTCATTTATTTTTTACTTTGTATTAAAGAAACTCATCCAATATATTTATTCACTTCATCTTTTTAAAGTTAAAGTTTATTTAACTATAAATTATAAGTTTATTTGTTTAAAATGCTATTAAAATTTAACTTTGTAGTGTCTAACTACAAAGTTTAGTACAAAACCTCATGTGCTTGGGTACCAGACTACTTTTCTTTTCTTTTTTTTTTTTTAATTTAAGGGTTGCCCTCTGATTCATCTGAATCATCTGAAGCCTCTGAAGCCTCTGAATCCTCTGAATCATTTGAACCCCCTTCACCTTGTGAAGCTTCTTCATCCCCTGGTTGTCTGTCAGATTGAAGTGTGCCCGGAGATTTCAGGGATTTCACCAGGATCAAATACATATATATATACATATATATATATATATATATATATATATATATATATATATATATATATATATATATATATATATATATATATATTTATATATATATATATATATATATATTTTTTTATGCTGTATGCTGTATGCTGAATCTGTTGAGAACATCAGTGACAAATTCCAACACTAGATGATGCTAGGATTAAAAAGAATAAAAAAATGCAACCATTTGGATTAGAAGATCTGTTCATTTTAAAAATAATCATTTGGGCAAAATGGATGTGTTTTTTAATTGTTGAATTCACAATACACCACTAACATGGGTAAGAATTTACAATTAAAAATATATATATATTTCATTAACTAGACAATTAGGATTATTTAGAAATGTCCGGAGGGTGTGAATATATATTTCTGTTTACATGTATTAAAATATTTTTTATTATTTTTATTATTTTCACTTGTGTATTTTCTCATACAACTTTTTAAAATATATTCATTTATTAAATAGGTTCTAAAAATTGCTGAGTTGTGTTTTGGGCTGGAACAACCCATTTTATACAGTGCAAGTAGCTTAAGTTCCCTATCATGTCAAGAACAGAAATGCCTTGTCTGAACAACATTTTGGGGGAATCGCTAGATGCCTAATCATTCTGAAGAGTAATGCTGCAGTCACACTAGAGTTTGAGCATGAAAAAATCTGTCGTACGGCGCTGCAAAAAGGGGTGGGATTAAACAAGATGTTTAGACTTTAAAAAAAAACAAGCGATTGGTCCATGTTTTAAATTCCTGCCAAAGAGGTCATGTTTTGATCTTCCATTGGTCTCACACAGTCAAGTGATGTGATTTCGCAGGTCAGAGTTCACCAAGCTTAAACTTTCCATTTTGTAGCACCAGCTTTCGTTTATGGTCTGACACATTTGTGTGTGTATGAATGGAAGTCTTTGGGGAGGAAAGTGCAGTGTGACCACAGCTTAAGAAAACCGGCCAATGAATGTCTATGAACTGGCAGTGCACAGCTCTTGCAGCTGATGATGATTACAATAGGCTAAGTATGAAGCCAGAAGCTGAGGAGAGCAAGGCAGGCTTTTCGCTTCAGAAGCCTCACAAGACTGAAGAGACAAGAGAGGTTTATGTATACAGTGCAGGTGACAATGCAGACAATGCACCTCTATAACAGACATGTATAGAGCTGCAGGCTGGGTGACACCTAACACATTCACACGATTTTATAATCTTCGGGTGGTGCTGGTTTCAAGCTCGATGTCAAAACATGCTTGCTATGACTTTCTACCTAACCCAGAGATGCTTGCACCTATTCTGCTCTGCTTGGGGAGTTTCCATATCTGGCCCCTAGAGAGTTCCTCCCCCAGCAAGTGACACTCAGGAGGAGAAAAATACTTTGTTGGTATGCCCATCCAGTCAGCCGCATTCTGGGGATCGGTGCCAGCCATGCATGATCCCTGTTGGTGATCCTAAATGTGTCATTCAGCCATGGTACAGTTCCCTCTTCCCAGGCGGAACTGTGTCTTCGCTTTCCACTAACCATTTTATCATATGTTCCGCTCCCCATGTTAGGGTTAGCCCATATGTCCATATAATATTGTCACCAGGTCTCCCCAATTGGGTAGAGGGGTGACCTCCGCAGCCTTCTTCCCTTTCAGGACAAAAACAAAACAAAAACAACAACAATATAGTCATATACTGGTATGTGCTTGAGTGTGTGTGTGTGTATGCATGTAAAGGTAACTTGGTGGACAGGTCAGAGTACATACATAAGGAACAATAACAGTCAATAAATGAAGCAAGTGTCACAGATATAGATAAAACATATAGAAAGAAACCAGTCAGAGGTAGGGAGTAACAACAATGCTTATTAATGTATGATAGTAAAAATGAGAGTAAAAAAAAAAGAAAGGACAACAGTAATAAATGACAACAACAATAATAATAATAATTATTATTATTATTATTATTATTATTATTATTATTATTATTATTATTATTATTATTATTATTATTATTGATGATGATGATGATGATGATGATGATGATGATGATAATAATAATAATAATAATAATAATAATAATAATAATATTGTTATAATTATAATAAATATGAACATGTTTAATAATTCCAATTCTGGTTTTGTCCATATTTTACCCAAAGTTAGTGTAAAATAACAAACATTTTTTTTTAGAATGTACATGTTTAATGGTTCTTTTCTATATGTAACCTTGTAGAACCACACTAGAACTACCCTTCTATAAACCAACTAAGCTTTAGGGAGGAGGGGTCGTATAGGTGGTTGTTTCGACCTGGGCGCCATTTAAGCTAGCACCGCTACTGATTCTGACACAACATTGTTCCATCCTTTGTGGAACGTGGGTTGCGTCTGTAACCGGAACGATTATGCATGACAGTAAACCTCTTTGCCTTAGAAAAATCACACTCAGTGGCAATCATCTGATGAGATAACTGTACATAAACTGATCTAACAGGTGGAGCAGGTCAGTGTCATTTTAAAAATGAAATAAATGAACGTAAAGTAAATAGCTTGGTTTATTATTTATTTATTTATTTGTTGTTATTTTTTTGCACATATTGAAAATTACTTTATTCCATTGCACAAATTTTGATTAGTTCATAACTTCAGTGTAAAGGACTGGATATTTCTATTTAATGCACAGGAAGTATTTGGTTTTGCCTCTCACTCAAACAAAGACGTTTCCTGTTGAGCGTTTTCTTTTCTTAGAAGACACATGCCTGTTTCTTCTTCCTCTGTTGTTTTATTATATTCAATCACACAGTTGGCAGTGGAGTGATTGATACCTGATGTGATTAAATCATCAGCTGTGGAATACCAGCCACATTGTAAGTCTGTCTAACTTTTTTACAGGTGAATTATAAATTCTGTAAGTCAGTTTTACGTTGAAATTGTATTTTAAAAAAGTGTTTTTAGGAAGTGATTTAGTGTAGGGTTGCTAATATTGGTTGCTTGAGACTTTTATGACATGGGGAGAATCAACAGAAGCATCTAGTAATTCATCATAATATTACTCAAATATCACAACAGTTACTGTTCTAGAGTAAACAGTCCATACGAACACTCCATGAACTACATATTCATTTTCAATGTATGTATATAATGTAAAGTTATTAGCTTGTTTATCCACAGTTTTAGACGTTTTAAATCACAAAATTACGAAAATTCAATCGACGAAAGATGTTGGGAAGGAAATTCATTAATGTTCAATTCCATCTGTATGTGGCATGTTGTTGTTGTCATCATTAGATCACACTTTCTTTTGATGGTCCATTTGTTGAATTTAAGTTACATTGCATCTACATAACAACTAATTCTCATTAAATTATAAGTAGACTGTTAGGTTGGGGTTAGGATTGGGGTTAGTGTAAGTTGAAATGTACTTGCAAAGTTTCTTATAGTCAGTTAAATGTCTGTTGAAGAAGCTGTATCAACAGATATTAAGCAGACAGACTACTAAAACTGAAATGGTACCACTTTACAATAAGGTTCATTAGTTAATGCATTTACTAACATGAAATAATCATGAACAACACATGTACAGCATTTGTTAATCATAATTGAACATTTACTAATGCATTATTAAGATTTCAGTCCATGCTTGTTAACATTAGTTAATGCACCCTGAGTTAACATGAACTAACAATGAACAGCTGTATTTTCATTAACTAACGTTTATTAACATGAATAAATGCTGTAGTAAATGTATTGTTCATTGTTTGTTCATGTTAGTAAATGCATTACTTAACATTAACTAATGAACCTTATTGTAAACTGTGACCACTGAAATGGACTATCAAAATAGAGTGCTACCTATTAATATTTTTATTATTATTATTATTATTATTATTATTATTAATAACTACTATTATTAATAATTTCTAGGATTTTAAATTGTAGCGCTCATCTTTTTTGAGTTTTGTCTGTTTCTTCCTTGCTATGGCAGTCTATTTAAATGTTTCTGAAATGTATGTAATGAATGTTAAATATGAAAAATGTACATCCAGAAATCTACAGCAAATTTAAAAATAGCATCCAAATAACAACTTATTTAAAAATGCTAAACTATTGTCGTAAATTCGACGTCTTATCAATTAGAAATTATCAGACCAGAGGTTTTGATTATCAGAAAATAGACTTTATTCTCCATAATAAAGTCGAGAAAGAGCAGAGCAGACCCCAGAGCATTCTGAAGTCTCTCCTGGACACCTTCTAAAGTCTCTCCTGCTCCTTCTAAACTTTCAGTGTGTTTGTTACAATTTTTATACAGGATTATTTGACACACCCCTAAGTCTCTTTTTAACTCTTGACCATTTTTGAATAGGTTTCTAGTCTAAGGGGTCCTGCTATTCTTGGCTCTCAGCCCACTAGCTCATGTCAACAGAGATGTTACAGGTCTATGTCAGCAAAGTATAGATGCAACTTATGCAAAGGAATTAAGTGTTTACATACATTGTTATGATAGGATAATAACTTGATAATATGTTACTCATTCTAACTTCTGACACATATAGCTTCATACAAGTATTCAACATATATAATCAGTGCTTTACATATTCAGTTATTCTACACAATCAGTCACTCAGCCTTCTCCTAGTGTTGCTCCTGTGCAGGCATACTCATCTTACACAGACATATCACTGTATTTTTAACACACGCTGGCATGTTTGCTGCAAACACTACATACATTTTGTGAAGAGAAAATTAACTGCTTTACACTTAGAAAATACTTCACACTGAGAGAATAGAAATCTTCTTCACTATAATAACCAAACTGGGATTTTTGTGCTCACACATAAAGCACTTCCAGCTGTTTTCTGAAATCAGTGTGCGGTGTTAAAAGGGCTACACAAACAGCCTGTTTTTACTTTTACTTTTGTTTCAGTGAAAACATTTTGTTTATTGCAAACTGAAGCCAGACCCTTCTACCTTGCATAAGTCACTCTCTGTTGTTTTTCTTCTCAGAACATACCCTGTTAATAAACAGTTTACTAAGAGAAAAAGCACCAAAATGGCAGAATCTTTATCTGATGTTCAAAATCCTTTTGACTGTTCGATCTGCCTGGAGGTGTTTAAGGATCCAGTCACTACACCTTGTGGGCACAGTTTCTGTATGAACTGTATTAAGGATTTCTGGGATAAGGAATCTCTTAAACCAGTTTTCAGCTGCCCAACATGCAGAAACAAATTCAATCCAAGGCCAAATCTTGGCAGAAGTGTTGTTCTTGCTGGCATTTTGGAAAAAAGGAAGCAGGACGTCCCAGCTGGACATGGAGATGTGCAGTGCGATGTTTGTAAAGGAAGAAAACTCAAAGCCGTCAGGTCTTGTCTGGTGTGTTTGGCGTCATTCTGTCAAACTCACCTTCAGCCTCATTGTGACTCTGAAGCTTTGAAAAAGCACAAGCTGGTGAACGCTTCAGCAAATCTACAGCAGCAGATCTGCCCTCAACATCACAAAGCTCTGGAGATTTACTGCTACGAGGACAAGAGGTGTATTTGTGTGCTTTGTTTGGGTCAACACAGAGGACATAAGACTGTATCAGCCGCAAATGAAATGCCAGAAAAAAAGGTAAAATATGTATTTAGTAATGGTAATGCTGTGTAAAATTGCTAATGTAAACTGTATTAACAAACACTGTAATGTTTTTAAGGGTATTCACTAAGTTACTAAGTGATATTTAAAAAATGTGAAAATATAATCCTGAGTAAGAATATGCAGACTGTTTCTGAAAGGGTTAGTTCACCCCAAAAAACTATATTATCTATATTAATCTGTTATAGTTACTCAGCCTCATGCCTTTCCAGTATGCTGAGACTATTGATCATTTTTAAAATTCAAATGAAAATATTTTAAACCCTGCTCACACTGAGGTTTCAGACTTAATTTGTGAGACAATTTTTGGAAATCCTAAAAGATTCCTTAAATCCTAGGCTAAAATCTGTGATATTTTATCGTTGGTTTGACATGTTCACAGACAGCCACTTAATGCCCATTTTAATCAGATTTTTCCACCGATAAATTCTGGCAGTGTCAGAAGATTTCAAACACTTTTCTGCAGTGAGCTGCGATGAGCATCAATCTAGAAACCAATAGGGGCGCCAAATCTGATGATGCAATCTATGCGACAATTCAAATGACTGTAAAAATTGTTCAAATCTGTCAGGAGCACGTGTTTTTTTTTCTAATTGGTTTTATTTTTGAGACATGCTGTGTGCAAAATTGCCCCTAGAGATTGTTTGCATTTGCTTTGAGGAATCCTTTTAGAATGCGGGATAGTGAAATTATCACGGTGATGTCAAACTCTAGGGGCGTTTTCTTCCATGTTTGGAGCATCTTGGTTGTCTTTCAGTCTATATGACAGCTGAGATCTTACAGTGTGACAAGGGAGTGATGTTCGTGCAGTCTGACATGTTACATTTTTTCAGGAGTTTTAAAAAAATTGCGCAGTATAAGCCGGCCTTTAGATGAAATCTGTGCGCTCCCTCATCCCTTATAGACAGCAATGGTTCTGAGACGTCCAAAGTAAAGAAATAAAAACCAAAAACATTGTCAGATTATTTCTTGTGACTTCAGAACAAGCTCTTTAAAGAAAATAAAGGCATTTTAAAGAAAGGAGAAAAGATTAAAATGAAATATAAAACTAGTTTTATTCAGTAGTTTTATTATTACTTTTATTAAAATGTATATTAATTTGAAGCATTTAGTCTTTTTGTATTTATTCTTTTAATTCTTCTTCTTCTTCATCTTTTTATTATTATTGTTATTGTTATTATTCACTCAAGATAATGATTCTTATTAATTGTTCAATCAACCACAGGAGGAACTGAAAATAAAAAAGAAGGAATTAGTTCAGCAAATCAATGACACAAACGAGAATCTTCGGGCATTTAGGAAGGCTGCAGATTTGCATAAGGTAAGTATGATTGGCTGCTTCAAATATATTTTAATTGGGGACTCCAAAATGAAAGAAAGAAATCAAATGGAAAGGAAAAAAATTAGTTAATAATATACTTATATAATGACTATAATAGACAAGGACCCTGCTTTGACTGAACTCTTAGAATGTCTAATTTACTTGATCCCATAATGATCTGAGTGATCTATTAGGTTTTTGTTCAGTAAACAAATCTGTAATGTATTAAGATATTAGGCCATTTAGTGATTTATAGACTATAATATTAAATAAGTATATAAATAATACTTTAAAATCTATTCTGATTGTAACTGCATTGCAAAAACTGCTTTTCTTATTTAGATTTTTTGTCTTGTTTCGAGTCCAAATATCTAAAAAGTCTCAAATCAAGTATAATTTTCTAGACAAGCAAAACTTATTGTCTTGTTTTGAGAAATAATATGGTAATATTAAGTGAGTTTTTCCTTAAAACAAGCAAAATAATCTTGTTTTTCTTTTGACATAAGATTAATTTGCTTACCCCATTGGCAGATTATTTTGCTTGTTTTACGGAAAAACTTATTATTATATAAAAAATATACTTAATATAAGCATATTATTTCTCAAAACAAGGCAATATGTTTTGCTTGTCTAGAATATTTCTTCTTGATTTGAGAATTTTTAGATATTTGGACTCAAAACAAGACAAAACATCTAAATAAGAAAAGCTTTTTTTGCAGTGTGGGAGCTAGAGCTAAGACCTGAGGACAGATGTGATGTGCTCTGATTTCCTGGTTCTGGTGAGAATCCTGGCAGCAGAGTTCTGGATGAGCTGCAACTGTCTGAGTCTTTTTGGGAAGGCCGGTGAGGAGTTCATTACAGTAATCCACTCTGCTGCTGATAAAAGCATGAACAAGTCCTCGCTGGAAACAAAGCATCTAACTCCTGCAATGTTTTTAAGATGATAGTCTGCTGATTTACTAACAGCTGTGATATGACTACTGAAACCAATAGTATCTGGATGCAGCCATTATGATGCAAGCTAAGATTGCTTCACTCAGCGATGCAATTTCAGGCCCCGTTTACACTAATGTGTTTTCATTTTAAAACGCTTAAGTTTTCTACGGTTACGCCATACGTCCACACTACACCAGAGTTTTGGAGCGCTGAAAACGGAGCGTTTTGGAAATGCTGGAGAGGCTGTTTTCATTCTAAAACGCTGCTGCTCCGTCTCAGTGTGGATGAGCAAAAACGGAGACATCTGAAAACGGAGGCGGGGCTGCTGAGATTCGCTACCTGATTGGGGCTTTTGTGTCATTGCGTATCCTTCCCTTATTCGTCAAGCCCCTATCACATTACTATAACACATGGCTTTAACGCTACCGGAAGACAGCAGACCAGCCTTCACTGTAAACAACAGCACGGACACAGAAATTGGAGCGTTGTTTGCACTATTGTCTGTTTTAGGTGCCATTGTGCAGTTATTCATTTGTTATGTTTAGTAACAACTCGACCTCGTCGTCTCTCCACAAAAATACCTCTCTTGCTTTCTGTACCATCACGTTTAATGTTCAACCGGCGTTTGTTGACTAACAATAACCAAATGCCGAGCGAGACGCATGCTTTCTGTTTATACTAGAACGCGCATGCCCAGAGTGCACGAATGGTCACATGATATCTGTTTTTGGTGGTGTAGTGTGGACAGAGATATGTTCTGAAACCCTAGGTGAAAGGCTAGTGTGGATGCGGATCGTTTTTGATCTAAAACGCCATTTTAAAACTAAAACGCACTAGTGTAAACGGGGCCTCAGACACAATGCACTCAAATGGAACGAGTGACGTCACGGTGAGGGGTAGGGTTAGTGGTGGGGTTAGGTGAGCCCATTAAAAAGCATTGGATGCAGCTCAGATTGCACTGCACCAGGTCTGCATCCAGACCCCTCTCACTGAAACTCAGATCTAGGTTTTGCACCCCATTGCTTAATAAAAAGGTCCATTACCAGCATTGCTCTCTATAGACACCTAGTGACTGTGCTAAGAAATAGCAGACAAACCAATTTATCCTGAGCCAATGACCTGACCACACATTTGTCTATCAACTATAAATGATCAACCAGAAGTCAAGTCATTTTTTGCTGTTCTCAAAACTTGGATAGGCGACAAGACTTTTGTCAGGTAGCGTATTTATTGCCTGGGCATAAAATAAAATATTTATTTCTTTGTCCGACTTATTCAGAGACAACAGTCACACACATTCAATTTGTAATTTATTAGGCTAATAACCTATGTTACTGTGTCCTGACAGAGCTCTGCACAGGCAGCAGTGGAGCACAGCGACAGGATCTTCACTGAACTCATTAGATCCCTTACCAAAAAACGAACTGAAGTGAGAGGAGAGATCAGAGCTCAGGAGAAAAGGGAGACTCAACAGATTATCGGTTACATACAAAAACGGGAACAGGAGATCAGCAATCTTCAGAAGCGGAATGATAAACTGGGGCAGATTTTGTGTACAGAAGATTACATTCATTTCTTCCAGGTATAAAAAAAGTATAAGAGATGCATTCTCTTTTTTTATTAAGTGCTCACTATTGACTCTATGAAGTCTTTTCCTCTCAAATTGCAGAATTACTCCTCTCACTCTACCAAAATACCATATACTTTACCAAAGAAAGTTCATGATGATCTCGTAACATTCAGGGAAGTAGATCAATCTGTCTCTGAGCTGAAAAGAAAACTGGATGAAGTCTGTGAGGAGCACATGGGCAAAATATCAAAGAAAGGTAAAATAACAGTCACAAACTGTTCAGAGAAATACAGTCTAGCTAGTTACAGGTGTCAAACATAGTTACTATAGACCCGCAGCTCTGCACAGTTTAGTTCTAACTCTGAGGCCCATTTACACTAGTGCATTTTAGTTTTACAACGGCGTTTTAGGGTGCTTTCACACCTACACTTTTGTTTCGGAACGTATCTCGTTTGCCCAGTTAGCGCGGTTCGATTGGCATATGTGAACAGGGCAATCGCACTCTGTTCCGCGCCAAAGTAATCGCTCCGAGATCGCTTGAATGAGGTGGTCTCGGCTCGATTGAAATGAACCCTGGAGCGGATCGATTGCAGTGAGAAAGCGATCCGATCCGAGCGCGGTTATATCACAGTGTTTTATGGATATGTAATAGGCTTACGGCTATATGAAGAGAGAATTATGAGAAGGGCGGGAAGATTCGCTAGTCTCCGGATGCCCGCAAACGAGTGATGATCTCCCGGTAATCTCATGTCTCCCTCCCGGTCCTCAAATAGGCATCGTCGCGCACCCTTCTCACCCCTCCCCACCGCATCTCTCCTTAGACACGTCGTGCGCGCACCCTGTCAATCACCATCAAACCACCACCTCTCCTGACAGCTTAGCGGGACGCTGCAAAATAAACCCTGACACTCTGACCAATGTAGGGAGAGTTTACTCGCACGTGACTTGTTTTAGCTCTTTTGGTCCGATTAGAAACTTTGCAGTGTGAAAGTGAACCGCTCCAAGAGCAAAGAGCAACAATGTAACATTTGTAATCTCTGTTTCGGAACAACGGAATCGATTCACAGGTGTGAAAGCACCCTTAGAATAAAAACAATCCGCGTCCACACTAGCGCTCAGGGGCAGACTGGCCATCTGGCAATTCTGGCAAATGCCAGAAGGGCCGGACCTACTTTTAAATGTGGGCTGGTCAGCAATTTTTTTTAGAATTGTTTTTTATATGTATTGCTTGCAGGCAGCTTTTATCTCTTGCAAGATGTGAGTATTATGATGATGATGATGATGATGATGATGATAATAGTAATAATAATAATAAATGTTAAGCATTGGCCCAATCGGCAATGACTGGCTGGTCAAGATGGGCAGACCCAATTAGAGGTTACGCAGACGTAATCAAAATCTGGCAAAAATGTCAAAAAATAGTAAGTGCAACACAAGCTAATTGTCAGAAATGGACCATAAAAAAGGAGGGCAGTGCCGAAAAGCTCAGAGAGAGCAAAAAAATAAATAAAAATTCAAACGCTGCCAAATGCATAAAATTAACTGAAATAGTCTCGAAACAGAGCAGCACAGGGATGCAAGAAGGTTGCTTTTTCAAGCCTCGGCTGGGTTAGTTGGTGTTTCTGTGTGAAGTTTGCATGTTCGCGTGGGTTTCCTCCTGGTTTCCCTCACAAGTCCAAACACATGTGCTGTAGGTGAATTGGGTTGGCTTAATTGTCCATAGTGCATGTATCTGAATGTGTGTGTATAGAGGTTTCACAGTGGGTTGCACCTTGGGGGGCATCTGCAGCGTAAAACATATGCTGGACAAGTTGGCGGTTCATTCCGCTGTGGTGATCCAGATTAATAAAGGGACTATGCCGAAAAGATAATGAATGAATAAATTGATTGCATATACAAATTTGTTTTTGTTCCAGTAACATACATTAAAGGTTTAAATATCTATTACATATATGGTACTGCTCATTTAATTTCACCATCTGTACACCAATATAAGTAGTGAATGTGCGTGTCCGTGCATGGGGCTGTGCCTGGACTGATTTTTAATCCCAGTCCGCCCCTGCTAGCGTTTCACCCAGCGTTTCTGAACTGCTCTCCGACTACATCAAAACACTGAAAACTCACACCACATGACCACACACTCTCTGGCATGCGCTGCAGCCTATCTACAGAGATGAAAGCCATGCTCGTCGATGTGTTCATCAAGGATCTACCGCTGGATCTAATATCACTATATTTGCGAAACGTAATATTTAATTATTCTTTTTGTCTATATCTAACAACATATTCCCAGACTTTTGTCTTTTGAATCTATGAATAATTAAGTTAAGTTAATAATTAACATAACCACGTACATTCTGTATATGACTGATTGTTTGCCTTTATTTTATGTAATGTATAAACTTATTGTGCGTTTTACTTTTATAATGGCCATTATGGATTATTAAAACTGATATTCAGCAAAAGAGATGATATGTTTCTTATTTTCAATGAAAATGATAGGAGGTAGTCATGTCAGGCTCCGTTTTGTTATGAATACGCATACAGTGAAGATGGCGCTCGTATATGCAGCACGACGCCTCAACATTTCTTCTCTCTGTTAAGTTTTTAATATCAAAAGGAAAATAGCAGTTCCTTATATCATGTTTTCATTTTATTGTTAAGATATAGTTAAACAACGTAGCCAAGGTGATGTGAATGAGGTTATACAGTACACTGTTCCCTTTGAAGATTTACCTGACATATCCTCGGGAGTCTGTTTTCAATATCAAACTTGCGAAGTCTGAACTTACAAGGAGAGGATGCAGGATTGAACTGTCTGTAGGCTAATTAATATTGAGGAAAAGCCCCAATCAGAGAGGCGAATGTCTGCAGCCCCGCCTCCGTTTTTCAGGTGTCTCCATTTTCCCCCATCCACACGGAGACGGAGCAGCAGCTTTTTAGAATGAAAACGGCCTCTTCAGCGCTTCCAAAACGTTCCGCTTTCGACGCTCAAAAACTCCGGTGTAGTGTGGACGGATGGCGTAACCGAAGCAAAACTTATGCCTTTTCAAACTAAAATGCATTAGTGCTGCTGCTGCCCTCCAGGAATTGAGTTTTGACACCCCTGAGCTAGTGAACCGAAAAGTAAAGTGCTGTATGTTGTGTCAGCTCATATGAGTCCTCTAGTGATTTTGTGTGGTGCAATAAATGTTTTGTTATCTTTTTCATAGTTGCAGATGTCCACATTATCCAATCGGCCACTATCTGTGAGTATTTTTAACCTGACTTAATGTAGCACCATTCAACAGTTTGTCCTTTATTTCCTCATATTTATTTTTCAATTTTTTTTTAATGTTGAAGTGGCTCATTGAAGCTAAATTTAATACATATTATTCAAAAATACTTTTTTTATTATTTAAAAGATAAGTGTCTCCCTTTCTGCTCTAGAACATAACTGTTATGTGCTAAACCCTCTGATTTTTATTTATTTATTTATTTTAATTAAAGTGCAGTTCACTGTATCCGAAGATTCTACTGAAGATGACTCTGAATCTTCTCAAGATGAGTAGAAATGAATTCTGTAAATTGAATGGATTTTCCTAGCATCACATGCAAAAGTCTGAATTTTCAACGCTGTATGCTGTATCTGAAGAACATCAGTGTCTCGCACTAGGTGGTGCTATAACCAAAACGTTGTCATAACTGCAACCATTTGAAGTTTCCTATTAATGGCCAACATTTGTCAAAAATCATCGGGGGAAATTGTTTATAATAATAATAATAATAATAATAATAATAATAATAATAATAATAATAATAATAATAATAATAATTATTATTATTATTATTATTATTATTATTATTATTATTATTATTATTATTATTATAAAGTTTGTATATCCCAGTTTGGACTTAAGCCTTTGCACACAGACTTATTGGGACTTTAAGGTCCCCACGGGTAATCATGCTCATAAATCACACAGAAATTTTATATTTTTGTAAATGCAAAATGTTTTCAGTGTAGGGGTAAGATTGGGTAAAGAGGACCGAATATACAGTTTGTATAGTAAAAAATTATTATGTCTATGTGAGGTCCTCATAAAAAACATATAAAACCTAACACTTGTGTTTGTGTGTGCTACATGTACTAACTCATATACATTACAATGGTTATTTCATGTTATTTTACCAAATATTTATAAGATTTATGTAGGTGTGTAAACTAGTTGTTTAAAACAATTAATATATTTATTTAACCTGGTGTTGTATCTCTATGTTTCTATTGATTTATTAAATAAGTATATTCCAAGAAACAAATGCTGGGTTGAGTTTTGGGAGCAATTAATTATACAGTCTAAGTAACTGAAAGCTGTGTGTTACAGTAAACACCTTTGTCGTTAAAAAAAAAAACACGTTCCATAGCAATCATTCAAATATTTCATGGTCTTGCACCACCACCCCTCAAACAATGTGTGATTGTCGGCAAGGACAATATAAGACAGACTAGGTCATCTGTTAGAGGTGATTGTTCAGTTAAACTTAAGAGAACTGCTTTTGGACAATCAGTTTTTTCAGTTAAAGCAGCAGAAAGATGGAATAAAATACCAGTGTATATCAGAGAGATCAGCACTTTTAATAATTTTAAAACTGTTCTTAAAATCTGGCTAAAACAAAATCAAATATGCAGCCACTGATTTGATTTCATTTTATTGACAATGATGTATTGTATTTATTGTACTGTAAGTGTATATTGTATTTGTTATAAGTGTTAAATTTGTTACTTCCTGCCCAGGGACTACAGATGTAAATTAGCTTTATAGCTAACTCTGGCACAACATGTCATGTTGTACATTGTCCCTGTATAAATAAATAAAGTAAATAAAAAAAATTCAATGAGAATGCAGAAAATACCTGATCCAGCAGAAGGAGCAGGTCATTCAGTGTGATTCCTATAAAAATGTTGTCTTTACAGATTATCAAACACTTTTTTAATTATGGAATACATATTAAGAAGTGGTCTATGTTGTTTGTTGGACAATTCATTGAGCTGTTTTTTTCTCTCACTCGAGAAACTCATCTCTTCATAATCAGCACAAAATAGCATTTTAGGTACTTTCAGACAGCACGGTCATAAATAGGACATACAGTTAATCTCAATTACCAGAAATATCAGTTATAATTTTAACTCTCCAGTTTGTCAAATGTACACATCTTTCAGCCTCTGAGGATCTAAAAATTTGTTCCTGCTGCTTTTGTAACCAAAATGAGCTTTATTCAGCAAGTGTGCATAAACACACACACAATTGTTTTGAGTGTTTACATGAGCTCAGGGTACATACATATCAACACAAGTACATTTAAATAAGTGTAAATATATAAATATCAAATATTTATCAGGTCATGTTTAAGAAACAAAGGAAATTTTCACAGTATTTCCTAAAATATATTTTCTTCTGAAGCAAATCTTATTTCTTTTACTTTGGCTGGAATAAAAGCATTTTTATTTTTTAAACAATCCTAGGGGCAATTTTAGTTGCCCTGTCCACCGAACAAATGATTGCCTATTTAACTTGTTTATTCTATAGTTAAGCATTTAAATTGCACTTTAAGCCGAATAGTGTCTTGCAAAATAGCAAGTAAAATATTATGTACTGTCATTATGTCAAACATTTCCATCTGATTAAAATTTTACAGAAGGGCAAATAATTTTTTTGGCTTTAACTGTTTGTAAATAATTTATATGCAATATGTATGTTGACATTTAACTGTACAAATAAGAAATAAACATTTATATACAAGTGTAAGTTTTAAAAATCTTATTTGAGTTTATTTGACTTACCTCAGCAGCTAACGCCTGGAAAATCCCACCTTGGAGTGAAACCAGTGCAGAAAAAACACCACAATAATACTTATTTAAAGGACTATGAAGTATATACAATCATCTTTTATGGCTAATAGTAAAAGCGAGCCAAATCCATTCTGCCTCCATTCTGATTATTTATTCATTCATTCATTTTCTTGTCTCTTTATTAATCCGGGGTTGCCACAGTGGAATGAACCGCCAACTTATCCAGCACGTTTTTACGCTGCTGATGCCCTTCCAGCCGCAACCCATCTCTGGGAACCATTCTGATTAATAATGTCTTTAATATGTGTAAATAAACATAGAAAGTTGATTTTAAATCTTGTTTCGTGTTCTACTGAAGAAAGAAATGCATCTGATTTGTGGAAAGTAAATAATTATTGTATTTATCATTGTGGGCAAACCATTTTTTTAATTAATAACAATAAACATTGAAAAACAATACACAATTATACATGAATTATTAGTCAGACAACATTAGTACTAAAGTGTTTTCTGAAGATAAACTTGGCATTTACTTTCTTGAGGAAATGATTTGAGAGAAACAAACAAACACAAGGGGGGTCAAACATTTATTTGGCCTAATCGTACAACATCTTATTAACACCTGGAAATGTTAGCAAAATAAAGAGTCAGAAAAAAAACTGTATGTACAGAGACTTAACAGAACAAAAATATATATTTGATAAAAGCAGTGGTTTAATTCCCCTTTGTCGTAAACTTTGAAATGTGTAGCTGGATCTGATTAAAACTGTAAAACATCATTAAAAACAGACTATAAGACTAAAACCTATATTCACTCGCCCAGATCTTCTCAAACCCCTACGGCTTTCAGGGCTAAAATTGGAATGTAGAGCTATTTAAACACTTTAAAAAAGTTTTTTTTTTTTTTGTATTTTCTTTCTTTTTTGTTTGTTTGTTTGTAGTTTTACATTGTCCTTAAACCATCTCCTAAGAGGACAATTTGTCATTTCCCTCATCAGCCCTGAAAAAATCAAGGATCAGATGAAGTTTGAAAGAGAAAAATGACTGAAAAGACTGTGAACAGGGAGCCACGCTCTTCCATCCGCTGCTCTCTTTTTTTTCCTCTGAGCCGGAAATTCCTTCAGTCGTTCCAATCCAAACACAGAGCACTTCCGGCCCGATTCCCAACAACAAAAAAAAAGCTCTCCACGTTTGGCACCACACTGACACCAGACCGGACGAAACCGCGAACCAGTGAACGTTATCAGCAAGGGTGGTAAATGTACTTTGTAGTAATGCTGTAACTTTAAGATTGTGGCTCAAGTCTCATATATTTATATATATTTATATATATATTTATATATTTCAATCTCAAAAAATAAAAAAAAGGATAAAGATAAAAGTCTAGGTTGCCACAGCGATATGAGATCACTCTGCAGCCGGCTCCGGGTCCGAAGATTCAGTGGGCGTGGTCTCTTCAACGGGGGCGGGGCTTTCCTCGGATTTTGTAGTCTCCTCTGTGGGTGCGGTTTCTGTTTGCTGGGCAGGCTCTTCAGCTTTGGGCTCCGCCTCTTCTACTTTGGGCTCCGCCTCCGCCTCAGGAGCTGGCGTCTCATTGGTTTCCGCCGCTGGCTCCTCCTCTTTGGTTTCTGTAGCGGCCTGGCCGTTCTCCTCGGGTTTATCTTCAGCGGTGGTGGGCGTGGCCACAGCCTCCGCTGCCTCCTCACTTGCCTTTTTATTCTTCTTTAGGGAAATGCCTTTGAATTTGAAAGAGTTCTTCAGTGAGAATTTCTTCTTCTTTTTGGTTTCCTTTGCAGCCTCGCCGTCAGATTTGCTGGCTTCAGCCTCTGTAGCGGGCGCGGCTTCAATGCCGTCTCCCTCCTCCGTTTTTGGGGCTTCATCCTTGGCGACCTCCGCGGTTCCATTTCCGTCCGCTGCCACTGCTTCTCCATCTGGCTTGGTGGATACATCTCCGTTAGTTTTCACATGGCCATTTTCCTGAAGAGAGAAGCAGAGGGAGCATAAGCCAAATGCATCTTGGCAAACACACACACACACAGAGGAGAAATATGCTTGTAAATGCTTGTTTTATAGCTATAGTAAATGCTTGGATTTATAGTATAGTTTATAGCACAACGTGTTAAGCATATGTTTTTTTTTATCTCAACATTTCTCTTCCTAGCATCATTTTTATCCAATACTATGTGATTCAAACCCAATTATAGCTTAGCTATTTGTTTAATTTAAGACATAAATGATAGCTCTAGTTAATAACACTGCAGTATTGGCTACACTTCAAAACTGAAATAAAATCTACGTACACAGTAATGTACACTAAAATGACTACAAATAAATACACATAGGAATCACTTTGTTTTGGTAACACCAAATATAGAAAGCAGTCAATTTAAAGTCAGCAAATGCGGTTCGGAGTGCTGTATGTAATCACATTACAGACAGAAGCAACACCCGGTTAAACCCAAAAGCAGAAGTGCATCATGTAATTCCACCTTTCATCCGCTAGAGGCAGTTTTGCTCCACTAAATAAAATCCACAGCTTAGAAAACCATCCACTACCAGAGAGAACAAAGAAAGGGGAGACCGCAACCCTAAAACGCCGTTTAAACCAACGCTTGTTGTTTCCCCTCTCTTGTATTTACAGGAATTTGGATCACACACCATTCAGGTGATGCTTCAGCCGAGCACTATACATTCATGAAACACGGTAATGTACTCTCCCTAAGTATTGGGGTGTTTAAATCACAAGCATGGACATATTCAAAATAATGCATTCAGTTCAATAATATAGACAAGAGCGTTCTCTTATTGTATTTAGAGGGGGAAGGGTGCATATGCATTAAGGGGGATGGGTAGAATGATTATTAATGAAGTACCAGAGGAATGGTCCATGCATTCACACACACACGCATGCATCGCATTGTTTGCAGATCAGCAGAAGCGCTGTGCATCATTTGCATGCAGCTCTGCAACCTTTTGTTCTCAATTCGGGTTTCTGCCAGTTTCAGCGCCAACACACAACCACAGAGTCTGTCTTGTAACTAACTAAATCAACTTTAAAAGCATTTTTTTTTAAAACAAAATCAAAATTAGACATTTATTTTGCATTAAATAAAATACACACCATTAGAAAAATCCAAAAACATCAGTAATGGGATGGCATTGTTGTTATAACAAATTAGTTTCTCAAAAAGAATATTAAAATTGATCACAAATACCGATATTTAATTCTCCTAAAATAAAAACTGTGTATTGATCGATACATTAATCATAAAAAACATTGAAATCTCTGAGAAAGCTGGTGGTCATAAATCCTCACCTGACCATTGGCTTTATCAGCCACGGCTTTTCCTTCCACTGTGGCTTCACCTTTAGTCAACTGAGCACCCATCCTCTTTGTGTCTTCTTCACAGAGTTCAAAAATGAAAATAAAGGCTGAAAAAATAACCCTGGGGGTCCTTCAATTCAGACCCACACAGTAAATGCGGTGAGCGAGGGTTTATAGATTCCTGATGTGTCTTTAATCTGCTGTGCTCAGCAGACAGAAAGGCTGGTTTCTGGTAGTAAATCCACACGGCTCTGCGGGGAGAGCAAACTAAGAGTTTCACAGCTACAAGTGTGAGTATTTGTCTGTGTGACTCCACCCAAACAGCTACGCCGCCCAATCTGCACAAGAGGGCTGGAGCTTCATCTGCCCCATTCAGCCACTATAGCGTTACACACACACTACTAGGGGCTTTATCTGGGATTTTATTGAGTTTATAAACAGGAAATGATTTCCTTTAAAAACTGTCGATTTACTGATATCTCAAACTCACTTTTGAAAAAGGGAGATGTTCATTATTTAATGGATAGTTCACAAAATTTACTCACTGTTTACACACCCTCTTCCAAATCTTTAGTTTCTTTCTTCTGTTGAACACAATAGAAGATATTCTGAAGAAAGCTGGAAACCGGTAACCATTGACTTCCATTTCCATTGTATTCATTTTTTTCTATGGAATTCAATGGTTACCGGTTTTCAGCTTTCTTCAGAATCTCTTCATTTAAGTTCAGCAGAATAAAGAAGCCCATAAAGTTTTGAAGCCACTTCAGGGGGAGTAAATAGTGAGTAAGTCTGAACTTTTTGTGAACTATCCTTTTAATGCGCAGCAAGTAGAGTATAATATTTAATTTATTTATTTGTTACAAGGTTTTCGATTGTTTAACAAAAAAATGCTACTTTAAATTTAATTTACATCTAAATGTTATGTCAAATCAGTTTACTTGATGATTCTTTGGGAAATGCCTGGCAAATCCTGAGTTTTCAGTGTTGAACTTGAAGTAATTTAGTTATTTGTACATTCAAAAAAAAAAAACTTTTATTATGTAAAACTAATTAATAAATATTCTATAGTTTTTGTAATTGCTTTCTCAGTATTTCAAGTTGGTGGTTCAATCCGCAGTGGCAACTCCTGTTGAATAAAGAGACTAAGCCGTAGGTGAATGAATGAATGAATTGGTCTACAAAAACCCTCATTTTAAAAGTAAAGTTGATTTAATATGATCAACATTATCATTTGTTAAACATAATTAGACATTTAAGCAACCATAGGAAACTGGCTATCTTGCTATTAGCTGTGATTTTCATGTAATTGATTTTTTAAAGGTAATATACTAGCAATTCCTTGCTAGTTTTGAGTGTTAAATTTGAAGTAATATAATTAATTGTACATTTAAAAAAGATTATCATGTAAAGTCAAAGTTCATTAAATAAATCTTAGTATTATAATTTTTATTATTGCGTTTAAACATTTTTGGTGACATGTTGTCCTGCTGTTAATAAATTCCTGTAATTAATTTTATTTTCTGTCCTTTTAGTCTTTTGAGAAATTAAGAAAAGGAAACCCTGTGATGTCATCAAACAGGAAGTGACATCACTTTGGAGGGAAAACACCAGCTCCATCTTCAGTGAGTGTTGGAAATGCAGTTATTGGGCTAGTTCATATTTTGTTAGTTAACTGGTTTACAAGATTGTAGTGTATGAATGTGTGTGTGAATGAGAGAGTGTATGAACCCAGTACTGATTTGCAGCTGGAAGGGCATCTGCTGTGTAAAACATTTGCTGAATAAGTTGGCAGTTCATTCCACTGTGGTGACCCCAGATGAATAAAGCGACTAAGCTGAAGGAAAATGAATGAATAAACTGGGTTACAAAAACCCTCAGTCTAAAAGTAAAGTACAATTGATTTAAAACTATCAAAAATGGGGGAGGCAGTGGCGCAGTAGGTAGTGCTGTCGCCTCACAGCAAGAAGGTTGCTGGGTCGCTGGTTCGAACCTCGGCTCAGTTGGCGTTTCTGTGAGGAGTTTGCATGTTCTCCCTGCGTTCGCGTGGGTTTTCTCCGGGTGCTCCGGTTTCCCCCACAGTCCAAACACATGCATTACAGGTGAATTGGGTAGGCTAAATTGTCTGTAGTGTGTGTGAATGTGTGTGTGGATGTTTCCCAGAGATGGGTTGCGGCTGGAAGGGCATCTGCTGCGTAAAAACTTGCTGGATAAGTTGCCGGTTCATTCCGCTGTGGCGACCCTGGATTAATAAAGGGACTAAGCCGACAAGAAAATGAATGAATGAATTAATGAATGATCAACAATATCATTTGTTAAACATAATTAGACATTTTATCAACCACAGAGAACTGGCTAGCTTGCTGTTAGCATTTATTTCCATGTCAAATTAGTTCACTTGATGTTTTTTAGGTAATTTCCTACATTTTCAGTGTTGAATTTGAAATAATATAATTCATTGTACATTTAAAAAAAAATTATCATGTAAAAGTTGCAGTACATTATATATATATATATATATATATATATATATATATATATATATATATATATATATATATATAAAATTAATTTTTTAATTTTTTAAAATATATATCGTTTATATAAATATAAATAGTTTTTATTATTGCGTTCCCAGTGTTTCAAACATTTTTATGAACGTTTTTTTTTTTCCTGTAGTTAATAAATTCCTGTCATTCATTTTATTTTGTCCTTTTAGTCTTTTGAGAAACTAAGAAAAGGCAACCCTGCGATTTCACCAAACAGGAAGTGACATCACTCTGGAGGGAAAACACCATCCATTTTCAGTGAGTATTAGCATTGCATTTATTGGGCTAGTTCATATCTTGTTAGTTAATTGGTTTACAAAAACGCTTCTAAAATGATCGATGCTTTGAATTTTTTAGTGACCAGGTGTTTCGAAACACTTTAATCCCGTGAGCTGGGTGTTTTGAACCCCCTTAATCACGTGACCTGGGTGTTTCGGATCATGCTTTGGTGCAGTGTTTCGAAACACTTGTGCTTCTGGATCTGGTTTTACGTCAGCCATCCCTAACTGTTAGCTGGTTTAAAAAGCCCTTAATTAAAAGTAAAGTACAACCCTGCTAAAAAAAATCCAGCTTAAACTAGCCTAGGATGGTTGGCTGGTTTTAGCTGGTCGACCAGCCTGGTTTCAGAGGGGTTTTGGCCATTTCCAGGCTGCTTTCCAGCCATTTTCAGCCTGGTCTTAGCTGGTCAGGCTGGGAGACGACCAGCTGAAACCAGCTTTACCAGCCTAGCCAGGCTGGGAGCCCAGCTAAAATCAGCTATGTCCAGCTTAAACCAGGCTGGTGAAGTTGGTTTTAGCTGGTCATTTTCCAACCTGACCAGCTAAGACCAGGCTGAAAATGGCTGGAAACCAGCCTGGAAATGGCCAAAACCCCTCTAAAACCGCTGATCAACCAGCTAAAACCAGTCAACCAGCCTAGGCTGGTTTAAGCTGGATTTTTCAGCAGGGAACTGATTTTATATTATCAATAATATCATTTTGTCAGCATTTAAACCAACACAGAGAACTGGCTACCTAGCTGTTAGCATGTCATTTCCATTGTAAATGCCTCTATCTAAAAAGTCTGTGACGACAACAAGCTAACAGGAAGTTGCATCTGTTTGGAGGGAAAACAACTCAAATTCCATCTTCTGTGAGTAATATGAATGGATTTGTTTGGTTTTATTATTAGTTTGTTTACAAAAACCCTCAATTTAAAAGTAAAGGTTGATTTCGTATTATCAATAATATCTTATTTTAAACATATGTGAGCATTTAAACTAATACAGAGAAATGGCTAGCTCTTAGCATTTAATTTTAGTTGTCAATGCATCTAGCTAAAAAGCAGTTCTCTGATGACAACAGTAAACAGGAAGTTGCATCAGTTTGGAGGGAAAACACTTCAAGCTCAGGCTTCAGAGAGTATTATGAATGAATTTATTGGGTTGTATTATTTATTCATTGTTAGCTCAGTTTAGAAAACCCTTCAATTTAAAAGGAAAGTAAAATTGATTTCATAGGATCAATAATATAATTTGTGAAACATATTTTAGCATTTAAACCAACACAGAGACACGGCTAGATAGCTTTTAACATGTCATTTCCATTGTAAATGCCTCCAGCTAAAAATCAGTTCTGTGATGACAAAAGTAAACAGGAAGTTGCATCAGTTTGGAGGGAAAACAATTCAAGTTCAGGCTTCAGTGAGTATGGATTGATTCATTGGGTTATATTGTTTTAATCATTGTGAATAGATTTAAAAAACCTTCAATTTAAAGTAAAGTAAATTTAATGTTGTATTATCAATATCATTTGTTAAACATATGTAAGCATTTAAACCAACACAAAGAAGTGGATAGCTCGCTGTTAGCATGTCATTTCCATTGTAAATGCCTCCATCTAAAAAGTCTGTGATGACATAAGCTAACAGGAAGTTGCATCAGTTTGGAGGGAAAACTTTTTCAAGCTCAGGTTTCAGTGAGGATTATGAATGGATTCATTGGGATATATTGTTTTATTCGTTGTTAGTGGGTTTACAAAAACCCACAATTTAAAAGTAAAGTCAAATTGATGTCATATTATCAACAATATAATTAGTTAAACATATTTAAGCATTTAAAGCAACACAGAGACATGGCTAGCTAGCATTTAGCATGTATTTTCCATTGTAAATGCCTCTAACTAAAAAGCAGTTCTGTGATGACAAAAGTAAACAGGAAGTTGCATCTGCTTGGAGGGTAATCACCTCAAGCTTGAGTGAGTATTAATGGATTTGTTAGGTCATATTATAGTTTGATAGTTTAATGTCGTTAGAAAACACTCTTCTTAAGTGATCTAAAACTAAAGTAAGAGGTTTTTATATTTGTGAACATTTCAAAACAGTGCTAAATATTTCGGTTAGCAATGGCTAACGTTAGCTCTGCATCTCCACTCTATTTCTCATCTCTTCATTGTGTGAAGAGCCAACCTGTAGCTGATCACAATACAAGTGTAACAGGGAAAAGCCATTTTTATCTCTGATTATTTTTGGATTTATTGACTCCCACTTCCAGCAGGTTAGGGCTCATGTTTGTGTTGTGTTGTTATGACACTTGCAAGGCTTTCCACTGAACTATCATGGAACATTGCTGTCGATAAGTGCATGCTGGCCTTATTTATCCCCATAGTTGTGTAGCAACAAACAAAAACACATCATAGGCCTTTTTTTAATGGTCATATTGATTTTTAGATGCAAAGCAAGAAAATTCTGGGAGCCCTTGAACGTTTTTGCATTTGAAACATGCAAATAAAAACAAGCATTTGCATTTGAACTGAGCATGGTTTGTCGGGAGGTATATGCAAACAGGAACAAAACAGTGAGTACACTTTTAAAAATAAAGGTTTTAAAGGTGTGTTTTAGCTGAGATAATGTTGAGAAATCATTTTTGGTTTCCTAAAGATTGTTTTGTGAGTGCTTTTTAACCCTTTATTGAGTGAAGAGTCATATATTGTAACTTTATTGACATTGAATAAAATTAATATATAGTTAATATATAGTTAATATATTAAAGTAATATATAATATAAATGTATTGTAATGAGCCACTTTAACACTCCAGGGTTTTCCCAATGATTATTTTATTAAGTTTTCTATAAAGGGTAATAATACCCTTTTTATTCTTAGTGTGATGAACATTTTAATAATCTTAAGAAACTAAATGCTATGATACAGTTGGCTTATAATTGTCTAAAACCTACTGTATCATATTTGATATGCAAACACTACTCTAAACTACAGATCAAACTAGAAAACAAAATGCAAGTATTCTATTAATCATATAATTTTGTTTTATAAGCAAATAAAAAAAATGTACTCAATCAGAAGTGGTTTCAAACACAAGATATATATTTTTTTTGGGGGGGGGGGTAGAGCTGGAATACTTGCATTGTATTTATTTTTCATTGGTTACACATTTCCAACTTTCTTCAGAATATACTTTTTTGTGCTTACTAAAAAAAAAACGAAAAGTCAAATAAGTTTGGAACAAGTGAAGGATGAGTAAATTATGTCAGAATTTTCATTTTTTGAGGGTGAACTAACCCTTTATTAAATATTTTGATCCCACAATAATACTAATAATTTAAAATCTGTTTGGAAATTAGTACATCTTAGATTAGTACATTTTTAAAATATTCATTGCTAAAAACTTAATGTACTTTTTTTAACCCTTAAGCAGGTCGCACACCAGAAGCGCCGCTCGGCGCCGCGACACGGCGCGTACATGACAGTTTAAAGTATCACACACCAGACGCGCACATTCGAATGATATTTAACATGAAAGTAATCAGATGGCGCTCTGTGGCGCGGCTGGAAAATGAACTGAGTCCTGAGCCTTGCGGCGCCGGTGTGTGTATCCTGATAGAAACCTATGTTTAGAATTCTAAAATACATGGCGCTGCGTGGCGCGCCGCCGAGCGGCGCTTCTGGTGTGCGACCTGCTATAGATTCTAGATTTTCAAATAGTTTTATCTCAGCCAATTATTGTCCTATTTTAATCAATCAAACATCAATAGAAACCAACAATTTAATCAAATTTAAACATGATTTTGTCTGGATAACAACTGTACAGATTTTACAGAGTGCAAATGTTTGTAATTTTCAAATATATATTTAATAAGCATTGCCTGTAGCTCTGCTTTATGTGTATTCTTTTGAGCTGAAACTTACACATTCTAAGGACATCAGACACTTTTTTTTGCATCTTGTAAAAATTAGCATAATAGGTCCTTTTTCAGAGAGTATTTCATTTGTGTATGTGTATATATTGCCTAAATCTTTTGTAGTTGAATCAAATAAATTTTTCTAGTCATTGTTATATAAATATTTTTTTATAAAGATTTAATTAAAACATTAATTGATTGATTGATTCATTCATTCATTTTCCTTTGGCTTAATCGTCGCAGGTCACCACGGCTGAATGAACTACCAACTATTGCTGCATATGTTTTATGCAGCGGATGCCCTTCTGGCTGCAAATGGAAACACTCATACATTACGGGACTTGAACCAGAGACCTTCTTGCTTTAAGGCGACAGTGCTAGCCACTGAGCCACCGTGCCGGTCTAATTGAAACCTGATTTACACATTAAAATATGTTAAAGCAACTTTTGTTGTCTAATTGGTTTTATTTTAATCAAATATTCTAGTCATCTCAACTTCAAAATCAAACTCCCTAAAATAGTTGAATTATTTAAATAATTTTATTTTATATTTTTGTAAAAGTTTATTTAAACCTGATTAACTCATTAAAATAAGTTAAAGCAGTGTTTCTTGTCATAAAAATTTATAAAAATATATACTATTGCCTAATTGTGCAGAAATAGTTTTTCCTAGTCATCTCAAACTACAGCAAACTGACTACAAATATATATTTTTTAAATGTTTTTTTTTTTGTTTTTATACTAATGTTTATATATTTTTTTAAAAAGGTAATTGAAAAAAAAAATGCAAATGCCTGTAATTTTCTGATATACATGTAATATGCATTGGCTTTAGCACTGCATTACATGTTTTTTATTTATTTATTTATTTTTTTTGCCTGAGGCAAACTGAATTCTTTCCTGCAATCGATATAGTGCCGGATGGACTTTAACTCGCTCTGAACCCGGAACATTCCTCCAGAAGAGCTGGAATGCCACATGTTTTTAATGCTCCACCCTCTGCTGTAAGGATGACATGCGGAGCTCGACCCCCCGCCGTCGGCATGTCAGGAATGTGTTTTGCCACCCAAAGATCCCTGCTGTCATTCAGCACACCATCCTCACGCCCGAGGCTCAGGGTTAACTCGCCCCCTCAGTCTGCTGGCGAACGGACGGATGGACAAAAAGGAGAAATAATACTCCTGAAGGAGCTCTGTGTTCCTCAGAAGACCGAGGAGGAAATGAATCCCATGGAAATTATATAGAAAATCACATGAACTTCCACTGAATTGAACTTCCATGGGACACGGGACAGTTTTTATAGTTGTAAAAAGCTCAGTGATGTTGGTGTTGAGAAATTTTTTACACTCAGTTAATGAGGAAGTGGCAAAGTTTGGAGGTGGTGGGAATGCTCACCAGGCTGTTTAATATTACAGTAAAAAAATAAAAATAATATATATATATATATATATATATATATATATATATATATATATATATATATATATATATATATATATATATATATATAGTATTAGTAGACTGTTTGCTTAATATCTGTTGACTATTTCAACGGACTATAAGTAACTTTGCAAGTACATGTCATCTTACACTAACACTAACCCTAACCCCAACCTAACAGTCTAAATATAATCTGTGCAATGTAGATGCATGTTGCCATGTAGATGCAATGTAACTTAAATTCAACAAACAGACCATCAAAAAAAAAAAAAAAAAAATTATATATATATATATATATATATATATATATATATATATATATATATATATATATATATATATATATATAATAAAAAATCAAACAAACATCCTGTACTACACTTCATTTTGGTTTTATTGTAAAAAACAAACAAACAAGAAAACGTGTTGAATGAGAATCTGAAATATTTAATGGCATTCTTCAAAAGATAAAGGTGATTTAGTGTTCAAGACTGTTTTATTTCTAATATTTTTTAAAAATAAATTGGTCCTATACTTCCCAGATTCATAGTATATGTATTAATTCTGGTACTTTTACCAATCGACATCTCAACCTTTTGGTAGAGGTTGATATTTTAGAAATTATAGATTGTGTCGGAAAAATATGCATTGAGTGTGTTAACTAGTGACATTAGGAGTTAAGAAATGCAATCCAAATATTTTTTTTCTTGGTGGAGTAGTTAAATGGTTAAAATAGCTATTTTCTGTCCATATATATATAATTTATGTAAATAATAATAATTTAGTGGGTCTAATAATTATGACTTTAACTGAGTATATATATATATATATATATATATATATATATATATATATATAATCTGTGTGTGTGTATTACAATTTAAAATAGGTGTTTTCTATCTATATGATTTCTATTATGTTAATTATTCTATTATATTATTATTATAATTCTATTATATTAATATATAATTGAAAATGTTTTGGGTGTCACGGTGGTGCAGTGGGTAGCACGATTGCTGTTGCCACGATTGTGGCAACCAGCAAGAAGGTCGCTGGTTTGAGCGCCGGTTGGGTCAGTTGGCATTTCTGTTTGCATGTTCTGCCCATGTTCGCATGGGTTTCCTCCGTTTGCTCCAGTTTCCCCCACAAGTCCGAAGTCGTGGTATAGGTGAGTTGAGTAGGCTAAATTGTCTGTAGTTTATGTGAATAAGTGTGTATGGGTGTTTCCCCAGTGATGGGTTGCGACTGGAACTGCATCCACTGTGGATAAGTTGGTGATTTATTCCACTGTGGTGACCCCTGATTAGTAAAGGGGCTAAGCCAAAAAGAAAATGAATGAATATATTTTACCATTGATTCATTCATTTATGTGATTCAAAGCTGGATCTTCAGCATCTTTAGTGTCACATGATTCTTTAATATATACTTCAAATTCATTCTAATTGGCTGATTTGATAAAATTTGTCTTATTTATATATATATATATATATATATATATATATATATATATATATATATATATATATATATATATATAAATATATATATATATATATGATATATAAATGATGTTTAACAGAGCAAGAAAATTTTCACAGTATGTCTGATAACATTTTTTTCTGCTGGAGAAGGTCTTATTTGTTTTATTTCGGCTAGAATAAAAGCTGTTTTTTTAATGAACCATTTTAAGGTCAAAATTATTAGCTGATTCCACCCCCCCCCCCCCCCAACCCCAATAATTTTAATTATACAATAACTTTGCCTAGCCTGCCTAGTTAACCTGGTTCAGCCTTCAAATGTCACTTTAAGCTGTAAAGAAGTGTCTTGAAAAATATCTAGTCAAATATTATTTACTTTCATCATGGCAAAGATAAAATAAATCAGTTATTAGAAATGAGTTATTAAAAATATTATGATTAGAAATGTGTTGAAAAGATCTTCTCTCCGTTAAACAAAAATTGGGGAAAAAAGAAACGGGAGCTAATAATTCTGGGGGTCTAATAATTCTGACTTCAACTGTATATATACTATATTAGTGATAATAGTTGACAAATAATAGTTAAAATAAAATTAATTTATGAGAAGAGAAGGTGCGCATGTGTGTGTTCAGGCATGTGTGTTTACTCTAGAAAGATAACGGCAATAGTGATTCATCTTGGCAGAGCTTGAGTAGAAGCTGTGTATGTGTGAGTGTGTGTGTGTGTGTGTGTATGTGTTCACTGTTCTTCAGAATAGAGTTTGAGTTAAAATGGATGGGGGAGGGGCAGACACCTCAAAGAAACGGAGAGTGTGTGTGAGAGAGGTTGAGACAGCTGTAGTGTGTGTGTGAGCTGCAGTGTTAGTGGGTCAGTGTGTCAGCTACAGTCTAATCATCTTCTCTCTCTTTCTCTCTGTCTCTCTCTCTCTCTCTCTCTCTCACTCACACACACACACACAAAAACACACACACGCACTTTACTTATATGCTTCTGCCTGTTGTTAGCTGTAAACTCGTGAGATGTCAACATAGAAACTGAAAATGGCCAGTTTCTGTGGATTTATTTTGGATTTGAATATTTACATTTGCATTTCAACTACATCTGATCCAGCTCAAAACATCTTTAAACTCTGGTTACACCTATAATATTAAGAGACTGTGGGAAAAGTCATAAAAATGAAGTCACCAATATTCTTCTGCTTCAAGACTTTCTTTGATTTTTTAAAATTATTATTATTTAAGTCAGTTACCTCAAGTGGTGCAACACAGTCATGCAGTGGTTAGCACTTTTGCATCACAGCAAAAAGGTTGCTGGTTTGAGTCCCGGCTGGGTCAACTGGCATTTCTGTGTGAAGTTTGCATGTTCTCCCCGTGTTGGCATTGGTTTTCTCTGAGTGCTCCGGTTTCCCCCACAGTCCAAACACATGGGCTATAGGTGAATTGAATAAGCTAAATTGGTCAGTGTATGAGTGTGTGTGAGAGTGTGCTTATATTATATCTATATTCATGTCTGTTAAGCAGATGTTTGTGTTTAATGTTGATTGAATGCCTTTAAGGCGGAGTTACAAAGAGTATGGAAAATGTACTTACCTAATATGGTTTGTGCCAATTGATGGGCGGAGTCTCGGGGTCAGTTTACCTGGCTGAGCATGTTGTGGAAGAACTGTGAGCAGTTTTTTTTTTGTTGGATACTCATATATTGTAGTTACTTAGTTTGTTTTTTCTTTTGTGTTGTATATTTTTGACCTTTAAGTTTTGTTGGTTTGAAACTTGCTATATTTTTGTACATACCTTTTTGGGAATTGGGTTACTGCATTTTTGCACTGGACATTTTAACCATTATCCTTGTAAATAAAAAAAAAATCTTTTTTTCATTTCCGGGATGAGGCCATTTTTGTTGGACTGTAAATATTATATATATATATATATATATATATATATATATATATATATATATATATATATATATATATATATATATATATTTAATTTCCGAGTGGCCAGATGGAAGCCACTTCCATTTGCCAAACGGTATCTGTAGGACTCTCAGACCATAAGAAACTACAGTGAAGCATGGTGGTGGCAGCGTCATGCTGGGGGGATGTTTGTTAGCTGCAGGAACTGGAAGACTAGGCAGGATAGAGCGAAAGAGGAATGCAGCAATGTACAGAGACATCCTGAATGAAAACCTGCTTCAGAGTGCTCTTGACCTCAGACTAGGGTGATGGTTCATCTTCCAGCAGGACAATAGCTATGTTTCCATCCAAAAATGTGAATAAACTTTATGCGCAAAACTCGATTTTAGCATAAAAGTTGTGCGAATGAAGCATTGAGTCAAAGCGAACAAAATTGTCACTTCCTGATTAACTGGCACCAAATATCAACAGTAAAAACTGCATTTGCTGCAGTAGGAGAAGCTGCATCAATTTTTTCTAAATGAATGCGCCTCAGAAGACAATCCTGACAAGCAGTGAGCGCGCAGTGGCGTTTGAATGTGTCAGATGCGGAGCACAGCCGCTCTTGATTCTGGAGGTCATTGATAATATAATAACATTAATACTGAAATGGTAAGGCGTTTTATGATGACCAAAACAACATTTCAGATGTTTTATAATGTGCTCAGCCTGACGTTTTATCCATTCACACACATTTTTATCATCACATGATCTCCTTTAACAAAATCACATGACCTTTTTTAATGCGCATGCTGGAGTTTGTGTTTGTGTTTGTAAAAGTGTTTCCATCGCAGTTTATGCGCATCTTTTCTTTTCGAATAAAAAGTTTATCCTACCCAGTTAGGCCCATAAGTTTTTTATGCGCATTTTCAAAATTTACGCGCATCATGACGTTTCCATCAACTGTTTTTTTATGCGCATTTGCAAACATTTGGAAACATAGCTAATGACTCCAAGCACACCGCCAAAATATCAATGGAGTGGCTCATAACAACTCGGTGAATGGTGAGTGGCCCAGCCAGAGCCCAGATCTAAATCCTATTAAACAAAACCAAAGGGTAATCAATCTGCCCAAAGTAATATATATATATATATATATATATATATATATATATATATATATATATATATATATATATATATATATATATTGTTACGAGTAGTGTAGTGTAGGCTTGTGTGTGGTTTCTCTCTTGCGCTCTCGCGCTCTTTCTCTCTCTTTCTCTCGCTCTCTCTTTCTTTCTCACTCTTAAGTATTCGCAGGTGGAGCGGATTACGTTGGGACGGACCATGATTGGCGGCGGCTATAAAAACCTGAAGAGAACATGGGTTCGATGGCTCCCCGCTCTCTCTCGATTTTCCCCGCTTGTACTCAGTGGAGAACGTGATTCCATGAGTGTTTGCATGTATATTGAGATGCCGTTGTGTTAAATTTTTAACCGGCGATTGAAACCCGGTTTGTCTCCCTGTCGGGCTTGGAGCATGTAGGGAGGTTTGGTGCCTTATTTGTTATTTTCGTTTTCTCCTGTGTTTGTTAGTAGGGAGGTAGTTTTCTGTATTTTATTTTATTTGTTTTCTAGGGAAGTTTAATTTAAGTTAGTTAGCTTGGTTTATTGTCATTTATTTTGGCTGAACCCCTCCTGATGTTATTTTTGCTCCTTATTTCTGTAAATAAATCATATTTTCTTGTTAATTCTCAGTGGTTGTGTTTTTGGTATATTTTGGGGAGAGAGAGCGCGGGGGCACCAGGGATTATATTTTTAATCCCTGTTATTTTGTTACGTTTTTGGTTACATCTCTTTTTGATTAAGGATTTTTAATTTAATTCGTAACAATATGCTTTAATCATTCCAGTTGCTAAAACACAGAGAGCGTTGTGGCCAAATTAAGCCTCAAAAATCTCCCCAGAGTGGACGAAACATCCCCAACAACACACAAGGGTTAATAATAATAAAAGTGCAAGATCAAATTTTCTCATTCTTGCCTTTTTAGTTTTAATATGTCACAATAGAAAAAAATGTTGAGTTTAATACAGACTTTAATGAATCAGCAGCAACAAAACCTGATGATCATATTCTCCAGTGAGTGAGCACCGCATATTTACCCACACTTGAACAATCCCCTGGAGTGTCGAATCTGAACTATTTGCTTATAGATTTTAAATGTTGTTTTTCACAGGTGTCTGCGCTTCACATGTAGATCACATCTGATCTGCGTTTACAGTTACGCCTACAGCAAAACTGGAAGTGTGTGTTCAAGCTGAAAGCATAACTGCTTCAGGCCCAGCGCCGCTTTTATATTTGATTTCATTATCATTCAGCGTGTAAAACTTATTGTAATCTTACACAGCCTCAACTCATTACTTTAGGGTCTTTGTGGATCATTTATAAAAGTGTTAATTCAGTATATTATTATTTGGACATTGTTTTTTGTTTATTTTTATTTTATTTTTTGTAATTCTTTATTTGACAGGGACAATGGGCAATCAATGAACTGCATCAGAATTAGCTATATAGCTACATTTTGTCTGCAGTCGCTGGGCAGGTAATACAAATAAAGCACACATCAAGTCACATAACCAAAACATAAACAAAATATCAGTTTAAAAAAAATGCTTTCAAGATTTCAATTATAAACCCTCACTTAATGGTCATACACCTGATGCATTTTAACCTCGAAGTCTACAAAGATCACAAAGTCTTCTTCTTCTTCTTCTTCTTCTTCTTCTTCTTCTTCTTCTTATTATTATTATTATTATTATTTATTTTTTTAATTAATATTATGATTTATCTAGATTTTTGTTTAGATATTTTAATGCATTTATCAGTTACTCCATGATTTTGCAATGACATGTTATCATATATTTCACGAGTTCACACTTACAGATGTTTGAAGAATAAAGCATATTCAGCGTACTGTCTAGGGCGAGGGTTCTGAGCTCAGAAAAGACACCCCAACTCAGTGTAGACAGTGTTATTCCCCTTGTCAGGAAAGTGTGAGGGGTCCAAGAGAATTGTTCGGCCCCAGAATGCTCCACCTAGATCAGGGGTGCCCAAACTCAGTTCTGGAGGGCCGGTGTCCTGCAAAGTTTACTTCCAACCCCAATCAGACACACCTGGGCTAGCTAATCAAGCTCCTACCAAGCTTTCTAGAAACATCCTTGCAGGTGTGTTGAAGCAAGTTGGAGATAAAATCTGCAGGACACTGGCCCTCCAGGACTGAGTCTGGACACTGGATAGTGTTTAGAGGTGAGGTGTCGGGGTGGTGGAGGGATGCTAAAGTCGTGAGATAATGAAGGTAGGGCAAGTTTGGTATTTATGGGGGTTTAAACTAATGCTGATGTGATATTAGGATGATTTTTAATAATGTGTTAGAATTGTTGAAATATCTGTGCATTCTCCTCCCAAAATTTGTTTCTTAAACATCACTTACAGTACTTAAATGACGGCTTTTCTCAAAACTTATGTCATTATTTGCTGCAATTATTGTTTGATACAAAAATTGATATATATTTTTAACTTTTTTAGGAACTATTGTACACATAAAATTCTCGATGTACTGATTTATATTTATAATATTGAAAGTAACTATTGAAATAGCTGTTACATATTAATGTTTTTTTTTTTTTTTAATTTGATGACAGATAATGAATATATTAGAATTTTCTTCCCTTGGTGGTTAACCACAGATGATTTATTGTAAAGATTTTTTGTTTACATTATTTTCCTAATTTCCTTTATGTTAATTAGCTTATTATTACAACACACTGATCAACAGTTGTTTTTAATTGTGCTAGTGTTTAAACAAATATATAATCTAAAAATGACAACCCAGGAAATGTGTATACCTTTTTTCTGTGTTTTAATGCACATATAAAAACTATTCGATTGAATGATTTGACTTTTGTAATTACTTTGCTGCTTATTTTCTTGAGTGGTAAATAAATATAACAGGAGTGTGTTTTTCTAAAAACATATTTTATGCATCAAAATTTCATGTTTAATTCAGTTTAATTGTTTGTTTATTGTATGAAATACACATGATTTGTTTGTTATATTTACTGTAGGAACACTGTTAACATTTTTTGTAAATTACACAGTAACTGTAATATGAATAGTGTTTTACTGTGTGACAGTTATTCCGTATGTTACTCTATTTTAAATCATTGGAACAGCATTTTTGACTGGCTGTGAATCGAAATGTTGTAAAGAAAGGAAAAATAGTGTAAAACCTTGTCAATAATAGGAAATACATGGAATAATCATTTGGATTGTTTATAAACAGATAAACAATCACTGATTTACAAGTAAATTTTAGGTTCAATTAGGTCCATATATATTTTTACATTGACACAATTCACATTCCA